AATCTTAGAGTCAGATTTTCTGTTAGATTTTAATGCTAGTGGCTTACCTTGCTTTTGAGGCTCATCTTCTTCTAGCTCTATCTCGTGACTTCTGAGGGAGCTGACAAGTTCCTCCAGAGATATCTTGTTGAGATCTTTGGCTAGCTTAAGTGCTGTGACCATTACCCTCCATTGCTTGGGTAGATTTATGATGATCTTCTTTACGTGATCAGCAGTAGGATATCCTTTGTCAAGAACCTTCAGCCCAACAACAAGGATCTGGAATCTTGAGAACATTTCTTCTATAGATTCACTTTCTTCCATCTTGAATGCTTCATACTTCTGAATGAGCGCAAGGGCCTTGGTTTGTTTGACTTGTATGTTGCCTTCATGCGTCATTCTCAGAGAGTCAAACATATTTTTGGCTGTCTCTCTATTTGAGATTTTCTCATATTCTGAGTGTGAGATAGCACTGAGGAGTATTGTTCTGGCTTTATGATGGTTTCTGAATTCACGTTTTTGCTGGTCAGACATCATTTTTCTGTTTATCTTCTGACCACGTCTATCCACTGGATGTGTGTATCCATCAGTTACCATATCCCATAGATCAACATCATGGGCCAGAAAGAAGCTCTCAATTCTATCTTTCCAGTAGTCAAAATTTTCTCCATCAAAGATTGGAGGTTTGCCACTGATTTTGTCATTGTCTTCATGATAGTCATTGCTGATGTTTTGGCTTGGTCCCACCATGGTGTTTTTCTAAAGCTTGGATCTTGTACTGACACGATTAAGTGTATGAACTCGGAACTAGGCGCTCTGATGCCAATTGAAGAAGTGAAAAACACAAGAAGGAGGGGGGGGGGGGTGAATTGAAAACTTGAAATCAAATGCGCAATGATACAATATTTTTATCCTAGTTCGTTTGATCTCAAACTACTCCAGTCCACCCATCAAGGTGATTTCGCCTCTCTCCAACGAGGTCTTAATCCACTAATCACAAACAGATTACAATCACTACTTTGACAACTATCAAAGTCCTCTTGAGTACAGCCACAATCCGGTTAATCTCAAGGAAAACTGTCTTAATCAAAGATACAAGAATTCTGTGTGTAGTTGTTTTTCGTTACAAAAACAGTTACCACGACTGTGATAATTTACACAAATTAGAGCGTTGGAATAAGTGTGTAAGCTTGCAGCGTTTTTAATTGTATTGCAGTAGTGTTGGAAAATCGTAAATGATTTAATTGTATAGGCAATGGAATTTTGTCCAACTTTAAGCGTGATAAAGGACATTAAAGCAGTTTCCATATTGAGAAGATCCTGTCTGAATGAAGCCGTTACAAAATGTTGTCTTTATTAAATAGTAACGCTTCAGAGTCTTTCAATCTTGTATGTTGTATTTGCTTCAGAACATTGATGACTTAGAGTGTGAGAATCTGATTGTATTTGAACCTTCTGTTCAGAATCAGAGTGTGCTTCACTTCAGCGCAAGTTCTGATCATCATTCTTCAGCGCAGATTCTGATTACCTCAGCGTGAAAGCTTCTATAGCTTAACTTCTGATGCTGCTTTGGTCAGAACTTCTGCATACACAGTAACACAATTTTTAGAGTGCATATTTATTCTTTGTATTTGTTATCATCAAAACTCTAATAAAGGGTTGTAGAATCAAACTATGTTCTAACACCATATGCAAACAACAAATAAAAACATGATAAAACGTCTAAGAAATTACAACCGTCAAAACAATTTCATTTGAGCCATGCATCATCACCATTACGTCTCCATCTGTTCTGACTTCCTCCAACCAAAAATTAGGTCTTCCAGTTGCAAGTGAGATGGGTGTTCTTCTTCTCTGGATCCTTCTAATTTGTTCCCCAGTCTCAATCTCTCCCTCTAGCCATCGCATCAACTCTTCAGACGCTTCACGGAGCGAATGTGCCAAAATTTCATTTTCATCGGAGGTTTGGTAGTCAAGAAAATAACGTATCCATCTCTGGTGAAAATCATGAGAGATGTCATGACGCAAATAACAAAGAAAAATAAGAACACATTGCGAGAAAGTGTGAAGAATGATGGAGAAATGGGTGATTTATTTATAGAAAACACAATTGCACGTAGTAGCCAAGTGAGATGGCGTCTCCTCTCCTTTTTATAGTGCATGCGCCATCTCACTTGGCTAAAATAAAGTACACGCGCCAAGTGAGATGGCGTCTAGGGCAAAAAGGTGAGTGCATGCGTCATCTCACTTGGCTCCTCTATTGTGGAGTTTTCTGAAACATGATTATTTGCGTAATTTTCTCTGAAACATGATTATTTGTGTATTTTTTTTAATATTTGGTTATTGTTAAAAAAAATTCAATCTTTCACTTAATTTAAAATATAAATTTTGTTTTAAATATTTTATTTTAAAATTAAAATATCATCACAAATACAAAAAGACTGCAGACAATTATTTATATCATTAGTTACTTATTTATAGAGATGGATAGACAAATATTTTTTGTTGGTAATAAAATATATAAAATTCCACAATCAAAAAATTGAACAATTATTAAATACTTATGCTTAAAAAAAAATTATTATACTATAAGTTCATAAGCTAATATATCGATTCCGCAGCTACCAATGGAGGAAATGAAGTCGTTTAAAGTTAGAATTGATCTTGAATCGGATTATACAGATAGTTAGTGATAAACCAAAAAAAAAATCAATTCCACAATTTAAAATTTCTGACTCAAACGAATATAGATTACATTTGAACTTCTAAAAAAATCAAGCACGAGAGCAGAGGGGTCAGGACTAGAGATACACCAGATGATCCATCCATATTTCAGTTGATCCAAGAAACTAAAGGGGGCTGCATAAGAATTTCCTTAATGAGAGGAGCTATGGAAAGGTTTAATATGAACTCCAAAGGTGTTTAGAAGAATAAAGTCGACTATTAAGTTGGAAGAATTGAGTCTTGAGTGATTAGCAATCAAGGCCACATTTCTAGTGATGTTGCAGGTTATCAACTTCCAAGATTGAGCTCTCTCAATCTGATCTGGTTTCTACACATCCAAATTGCTTAAAGGCAATAGTGAATGGATGAGAGGATCACAAGCTTGCAAGTGGGGGGAAAGAATCACCACATGTGTTCCAAAAATCATTAACTGGCTCATAATTATAGTGTATGTTAAGCTTAGAGATGAGTCGGTTCCAAAGGCTCATAATTATGTATACAAACAAGTCTAAATTGCTTATTTTATTTTACAACTTCATTACAAACTTTATCTTTTGGCCTACTACTTATAGCAACACTTGAGATGATTCAAAATTAGATTTTCACTTTGTTAAGCACAGACTTCCCATAAAGCTGGTTGCTTCGTTGAAGTTCCATGTAATCTATGTGTTTCATCCCAACATATGCTGCTGGATTGCTCTCATTGTCTAGTAGCTCTGAAGCTGGTTCAACCACAGTCTCCAACGATGGTGCAATAACCGTTGCCAACGACATTCTAGTAGCTCCATTGCTCACAACTGCTCTATGTACTACACTCTTGTACTTGCCATTGCTCATAATCTATTGCAAAACCAAAGCGACAAATAAGATATAAAAAATTGACAGAGACAAGGACATCAGACACGACACTGTCACGTTGTGTACCTCAAGATGATCAGACACAAGGACCAAGAAACAGTTTGAAGTGGAGCTGACATTGATCCACTTGCCTTTGTGAAGAACTTGAAGGCCACTCACTCCATTCTGTATGAGGAGGTTCAAAAGGCCATGATCAGAATGCGGAGGCATTCCCATTGCAAATTCGGGTTGAGGACAAGGGGGATAAAGATTTGCTGCCAACATTTGCAAACCAGAATCTAGATTCATTGTTCTGTCAATATAGTTGAGTTCCAATCCTAAGCTTTCTGATATTCCTTTCAGTAGTTCTCTCCCTAATTTCCATGTTCTTCTACTATACTCTTCCGATGTTTCCCTTCAACGACAAAAAATCATGTCCTAAAACACTAGCTTATGGTGATTTAGAGTTACAAGAAAAAAGTAATAGAGAGAATAAGCAAAAACCTGAATCCAGAAGGCTTCACCGGGGAGTGAAATTCGGGGTGAACAATGATTTTAACGAAATCCCTCCAGAACAAGACTCTATCTTCTGAAGCATTGAAGCTGGTTCCATACCTTATTGGATCCACTACTTTCTTACCTGCATACTCTTGTTTCTCTTCCTCTCTAAGATTGAAGAAAGCAAAAACTTGATCAACCATTTTCTCCACGAGGCTCTTGGAAACAAAGTGATTGATTAACATGAAGAATCCCCACTCTTCACAAGCCTTGCCTATGTCACGAATAGTTTTGGCGCGTTGATCAGGTGTATCAGTGGCCAAGAGGGAATAATCAATAACTGGGATTGGATCATTGTCATCTGGATCTGCTACTATTTCATTTTTGTCATGTGGGTTGGTGGTGAATTTGTAGGAGAATGGAATAGAGGTTAAATCTGGTGATTCTGATAATGTTTTCACACTTTTGAAACTAGTTGTTCTATTTTTGGATTTTTTGGTAACTTCGGGAGGAACTGATGAAGCCATTTAGAGAAACTGATAATGAAAAAGAAAAGTGACAGGACACTAATATATAACTAAGCAACAAAAGATGTATCATTTTTTGTGTTCTCTTCTTAACTCAGATAAGGTTTATCTCTAACGTGTCTATCCATCTAGCTAACTATTAAGGATTTGGATTTTGTACAACGCAGATTTTTTTATTAAAGATCTAAAATCCGGAACTTTTAAGTCTTTGTAACCAGATAGTTCAGATGTAACTGACTGCATGCAATTATGCGAGTTACACAGATTATGCCTACAAATCTAAATCCAATCATAACTCACGCGTTCATATTTATTGTTCATGATCACATTACACAAGTTTTTGTTTATGATAAATTTATTTAACTCATACATAAAACTCTCATCATCTTGTTGAGAGTCAGAAAAAAAAAACATTTTAGTATGCAAAGAACACAATCAAAAGCTTCTAGGTGGAACATTTAACTTCTTCTGATTGCTGCTATACAAAGATAGTAGGTGTTTTCCATTGAAGGATCTTGACCTATCCATTGAACTAGGAGCACTATGTATATTTACCATATTGCCAATTTCACCAACCCTTTTTGAAATAATTTGTTCATTGACTTCACCTACCTCTTGCTTATTGGAAAGAGCAAGATTGATCTTAGCAGCAGAAGAAGAATCAAAAGAAACTGATCTTCTAGGCTGCACATTTACCATCTCTAATCTTGAACTCTCATTTTCCTCAACCTCTTCCCTTGCTTCTTCTTCTTCTTCTTCTTCACCATTTCTCAATTGATCACCAACAACACTATCTTCAATTCCATTTCCATTTCCACCATTATTTTCCGAATCTCGGATCCGAGAACTTTCGACAAAAACATTAGGCTCCATAGAAGGAATCCTTAAAGGATCAACAACAATAGGAGCTCTACACATAGGACAGCTAGTGTGTGATCCAAGCCATGTATCAATACATGGTAAATGAAAAGCATGGTTACACTTAGGCAAAAGTCTAAGATTCTCATCTTCCTCAAACTCACTCAAACAAACAGAACAATCTGACCCATCAATCAAGCCTTCACCTTTCTTAAACTTAACAACAGTGATTGCATTAATAACTGCTTGTTGAAGACCAGGAGTTCGAATATACCATATGGGATGGTCAACAACAGAACCATCATCATGTTGTTCATCAACGGCAAAACCATGTTCCGTTTGTTGCCTTGTTAACAAGGTTCTCCTTCTTGAACTGTTCCTACGGGAGAAAAACTTGACATAGATAGCATAGCAGCACAGAACAATGAAAATAGCTGCTACAATAGAAAAACTTATGATCAAGTAAGTTGAGGTTTTGTGTTTGGTGTGGTTAGATGGTGGTGGTGGAGGGTGGTAGCAGTCGTTGATACAGGCATCACAGTCTGTGGAACAAGAGTCTACATCATGACACAAGAATTCACATGTTAGGAGTTTTCTGTGATGAAGTCCCATGGTTTGGGTTAAGGGAGAGAGAAGAATAATCAAAATAACATGATAGGTGAAGAGGAAGGAGGTAGGTGTTGGATTGGATGAAAACTTGATTTTTGTTAGGTTGAAAATTTGACTTTGGGGGACCTATGAATTTTCTTTTCTTTTGGAGTTTGCTTAAATCTTAATCTTCTAAGATTATTAATCAAATTGAAAACGAATAAGATAGTTGATAACTTATGTTTATTACACCAAATACTTGAAAAGTTGGTAGATGCTTATAACTTAAATTTAAAATATTAGATAAAATTAGCAATTTGATTGACTAATAAATATGAAATTAAACTATATAATAATTTTAATTAAAATAATAAATATTTCTTCCTCCATCCTAAAATATTTGTCATATTTGACATTTTCATACCGATTCAGAAAATATAATAAATGAAAGAGAGAATAACAATTTTACTAAACTATCTTGATTGGTTATTGATGAATTCAAATTATATTAATGTAAGTTGAGAGAAATAATAAATTAGAAATATTAATTAGATGATATAATTAGAAGATAAAAACTAAAATTGTATTAGAAACTAAAAAGACATTTATTTTAAGATAATTTTATTTCACATACAAGACTTATTTTAGAATGGAGAGAATATAAGTCATGATGAAATTAGATACACGAATTGTCTTGAATGGGGGTAACAAGGTGTGTGTGGTGTGGAATGATTTGTAATTTTATATACTTGTTTAGCAAAGGAGGTAGAGAATTGGAATTATAATCATCTGAGTGGTATGGTTGGAGATGGGGTGGATACTTCCTTTTGGTATGATTCGTAGTTGGAATGGAGTGTATTGTGTAATAGATATAAAAAACAAATATTATAAGTCACAATAAAATTAGATAGAGGTATTATCTTGAATGGGGTAGTAAGGTGTGTGTTGAGATTGTAATTTCTTGTGTTAAAGCAGGTTGTTCGACATAAATAAGATAGTGTTGAAATTAGTCTATTGTGTGTGTCGAAATGTCGAAGCGGGTTGTTCGACAGGATTTCAACTTAGTCCTATTTTTGTAGTTGACATAATTAAGTATTTTGAGCTTTTGTGTTTTGGACTTTGACTTAGGGAGCAAGCAAAATTAAAACTATAAATAGGGAGTTGTAGAGTCATGCTTCAGCAAGTTTATATTTTGATGATTACAAACATCATGATCAAGGCAAAAGGCATTATCAAAAAGAAGAAAAAAAAGTATGTACTCAAAATGAATTTTTGACTTGCATGCTAAGTTACTCCTAAAGAAGACTTTGGTATTTGATTTTCATTATGGTACAAGACTCCAATTCAATATAGTATGTTACTATAGTGGTCAAAATATGTCTAATATTATGCATACATATTTCATGGCTTTTAATATCACTAGCATTGCATTTCCAAGTCATTAAAAATGTTATTTTACTTTTTCATAGAGTGGTAACCGGTTACAGGTTTCTGGTAACCGGTTACAGGCTTCAGCATTTCAAATTTTAACATTACCTGTATTGGGTAACCGGTTACTGTATTCTGGTAACCGATTACCGCTGAAACGAATTTGAAAAACAAGACTGTTTTGAATGTTATTTGTTTGTTGCATTTGTCCATGAACCATTGCACTTCTAGATTCATTTAGAACCTTTTGAAAGGGTGCAATACATGTATATAATTCAAATATTTCTGAAGTAGAAATACACACACAAAAAATAACAACAATCACAACATACAATTCAACATTTTGTTTCTCATTTTCAAACAAGTGCATGGATTAATATTTCATCTTGCATGAAACTTTTACTCTTACATTTTCAAATACATCATAAGAAAAGTTTCATCATATGCATTGAGCACTTGTGTAATATATTCATTGAATTGTTATCTTGAAAGAGAAGAGATCAATATTTTGTATTAACATTGATTATCAACTTTCATATCTACTTCAAGAATTTATTTCTAATCATTTTTTCAAAGTGATTGTGGTATAACCTTGTTGTCCAGGATCATTGGAAGCAAGAGAGTATTAAGGGAGGATTATTATCTTTCTACTTTGTATTAGTTACATTGTTTTCAGGATTGTTGAAAACAAGTGTGTACATTGAAGAGGATTGTTCTTCATGTACTTGGTTGGATCTTAAAGGATAGTTAAAGCCTTTGATCTCCCTATAGGTTAGATAGTAAGCATCATATTTGAATATGAGTATGTTGTACAATAATTCTAACTATAGTTAAATCTCTTACACGTTAGTAAGGGGACTGGAGTACTCTCGAAGTGTGAGGAGAAATAGTATAAATCTCTTGTGTTCTTTATTTTCTGTATTTACCGCTTTCATATTAATAGACAAATAAGAAAATAAGAACATCATCATATAAAAGAATAAAAATCTGCAATCCACTTTGTTCATCCCCGTCGTAGGCGCACTCAAAAACCAACATTTAGCATCAGAGTAAGTTAAGGTAACTTGTTCCTATTCGATCCAGAATGGCTTCCACACAACCAACTTTCAAAGATGGTGGTAGTAATAACAAGCCTCCATTGTTTTGTGGTGAATACTCTAACTTTTAGAAAATTCGCATAAAGATGGAGTGTCCAAAGTTGTCCAAGAAAAATGCTTACAAGGGAAGAAAATTCTCAACATCCAACAAGGTTTACATTGAAGAAAGTGATACAAGTTCTTCATCCGATTCGGAAAACGGCGAATATGAAAATCTTGCTTTTATGGTATTATATTATTTTGATGGTGAAGAGGAAGAAAGGGTTAAAAAAATTATCCTAAGAAAATAGTTGCTAAAATAAAAAATTATGTTACAAGCAACTTTCTTTCTACTTGTTTATATTATGGTATTATTGGTCACACACATAATGCTTGTCATGCAAGAAATTCTAATGCTACTAGTGAATATTATGTTTGAGTCAAGAAAGGAACTAACCATGAAGGACCCAAATCACTTTGGGTACCTAGCAAAACTTAACTTGTTTTGTAGGTTTGCTTGAAGTCCACTTCAAAATCTTTGATATCTTAATAAGTGGTTGATCCAAGCATATGATGGGAGGAATAAGCAAATTTTAAAATCTAATAGGCCAAGAGATGTGTCATATATGAGGACAAAATCAAATGAAAGATTCTTGGAAAGGAAAAGATAAGCACTAACTTTCATATCTGTGATACGGTGAGAGAACTGACTTGTTTTTGCGTTTTATCGTAAATATTACGGATAGTGTAACACCCCAATTCTACCTGACAATTATTATAAAATCAGAGTTATAAAAATTCAACAACTAAATTAGGATGCTACAATTTCAACTTAAAACAACGACATTCATTACAGATACATAACACATTAACTTGGATAAACCAACAACAATATAAATTAATCTTTTTAAAAATCAACAACTTTCATAACTTCGCAGCGGAATCAAATATTCAACTTAAAAGAATATAACATCTTTATCCAACTGAAACAACTTCAAATAATAAGTATTTAACGAAAAACAACTTAAGGTTCAATCAACTGAAATAATAACAACAATAAAATAGCAAGCGTTCACCCCCCCCCCCCCCCTCCGAGTGTTACGTATCAGAGCAATGACACCGACTCAAACTATTGAAGGTAAATCGCCTTCACTCTGGATTACCTACACGTTACCAACATCGGGGTAACATTCAAACAGAAGGGGTGAGATATCGAACAGTATAATCATATGTATGATAATATTACATTAGAATTAGTCTATGCCAAATCACCACTTCACAACTTTAAACAACGTCAATCACAACGAAAACATCAACAAAACATAATAAAATAATTTACCAACACAACAGTTCAATATGCAAGGTGAAATGCAACTTGTTACTATGAACATGCATGTGGTACCAGCATTGCAGAACTCCTAACTTAAAAATGGAGCCGAACTCCCAACTTAGAAACGTAGCAGAACTCCCAACTTAGAAATTTCTAATTAATAGAGGCATCAACAAGGCATAAGCCTTCAACTTCAACTTTTTTCCAATCCAGACCAACTTGTTATACAATTTAGTAATTATCCTTTCTAAATATCTACTGCTATTACTTTCATAATTCACTCCTACCAGCAATTTTTATTATACTGTCTACTAATTACTAATTTTCTGCTAACATTTACTAACTCTGCTACTCATTAATATTACCTGCTATACTTATGCTAATTCATTAATTTATCACTTCTATTATTAATAAATAACCTCTAATGTTATTAATATTTTTTTCTTAGCCTGCTATATACATTCATGCAATAACATGTTAAGGTAACAGACACCCAGAATAAACATAGCAAAACACCTAAAGGAGATACTGTAATTGGGATCCATGCCCCTCGGCATGCAAACCGTTCGCCTCGTAACAAAAGCATGATTCCGATCGGCACCCTTTATCAACACATGTGCCGCTCGGCACATGTCCATAATTCCAGTTGTAATTCTGCAACTTCATTCCAAATTTCTTGCGATCAGTGACTCTTTCCATTCCCACGATCTCAGACCAACACAACAACTATTCACAACAATATAATAACTGTACCCACATCAATATATAACAAATTCCAACACTCAATTCATCGATCGAATTGCTGAAATGTTAGCACAATTATCACAAGTGTCAAACAACAATTTAGTCATACAACCATCACATACACTAACAATTTCACAATACTCAATTCTCACGTAACATGCATCATAAACCCAATTATAGAGTCAGAACCCCACCCTTACCTTGGATTGAATGTTGCTCTACACTTTTCCGATCGAACTCCGCTTTGCCTCTTTTCTTCTTTGCTCTGCAACTTCTACATTCTCTTTCTCTCTTCCAACCCTTATTCCTCTTCTTGACAAAAACCTATTTTTCTATTATTATAACTAAACTCAATAATAATAGAATTATTTCTATTGAGATTAATTCTCACACCCCCTTAATACTACATACCACCATATAAAATAGGCCCAACAACTAATACTAAT